CGTGCCATGTCGGGACGACATTTTTGAAATGTTCAAAATTTTGGTCACGACAAAATTTACCGACCGGGTCGTGAACTATGCGCAAACTGTTCATGAACTCGTCGGGACGATGCGTGGCAGTGCGCGCCATGCCACGAATACTTCACGAACAGTTCACGTCGAGTTCACGAGTAGTTCAAGACATGTTCACGAATTGTTGCGCGTCGCAGCGTGGCCATGCCTTCCCACTGACACGGTCACGTGTACTTCACGCATTGATTACGCTCTTCACGAACAGTTTGCGCATGACACGAGCAGTTCACGACAAGTTCACGAGCAGTTTACGACGAATTCACGAGCAGTTCACGACTACTGCGCGACAGTGGTGCTCGAGTTGGTGCAGGGTTTCTTGGACACTGCTCGCCATTCCAGAGATCTCCAGCAAAGAGACAACATGACTAAAACAAAGCAGATATGAAGAAGAACAAAGCAGAGAAGGCCCCCTTCATCTTCCTTGTGGAGTTCAGTCATTAAACTGTCATACTGTCCAAACTCGTGCCTTCTGGTCAACCATTCCCTGACCCACACTTTCCTTTGTGTCTTTCTTCGAGGTGGGTGTTGCCTTTTCTTGCTCTTCTGCCTCTTCCAGCCTTTTCTGCTGCTCTTCAACAATGGCTAGAACAGCTGCCAGGTATAGGAATCTTCTCTTCCCTGCAATGATTGTGTCTCTGACATTCAGCATGTTGTCTCTTCCACAGCCAATCCAAAAATGACCAGGGGTTGGGGAGGCCCCCTTTTTATACGGCGTGCCCAAATCGGCACGACACCGTCCGAATTGCGCAAACTCGTCGTGCCAATGCGGGAAGTGTGTAAACTATGCGCAAACTATGCGTGAACTCGTCGTGAACTATGCGTGAACAAGTCGTAAACAGTGCGGGAGCCCCCCAGTTTGTGCCCCAAAATGTCACGACTTGCCACGACAAAATCGTGGCCAAAAGTCGTGCAAGTGTCAGCCTGGCTTTACGCACACCTCACGCCAGTTTACGGCTAGTTTGCGCACTCGAGTCGTGCCAATGCGTGCCACAGAAACGTGGAAGTGTCAGCCTTGCTTAATCACGTACTCTACTGTCCCTGTGCAGGGTAACAAAATCAATGTGAGGGTGCATTTCCAAAAAAACTATCGTCACGAATACATTAACTTTTTATACTTCTAATATAAACGTGACATGGCTGTTCATTTCATCTCGTTACAGAAAGTAACATACAGACGTACATTCCAGCAATGTAATAGTGCCCTCACTTTGGTATGTGTGTACAATTATTTGACTTGTTTAACACCCCGGGATTTAACATTTCACTGTCATTTGCTTTCATGATAAATTTCATTTGTGTGTATTGCGTTTTCTGAGACCAGATATTGTGCATACCTACCCTATATGTATTATGGCCAAACTAGAAAGTGACCTGTTGAAGGAATTTACTTCCTGTTTCGAGTTGCAGGCAACTATTCAAAATTAAATATGACCCTGTAGTGTTGATCTAGTGAACAAAATACTCAACACAGCATTATGAACCAACATACACAGCAACATGATGTTGATATTATTTAAATAATGTGCAATTTAATAATAAAAAAAAACTAAAATGTATTTTTTATTATCTATCCACCCTAATTTTGTTTTCGTTATTAGCAGAAACATACAATTTATTTCATTTGGCCTTGGAGAATATATTTGCAGTGCTAAAACTTTATATCAAGACGTTATTCAATTGTATTAATGCTTCTGAAACCAAAATAGGCTCAAAGTATAATATTATCCCAACTGGGAATCCAGTTTTGATGTTCTACTGTTGATGCCCCTGGCGGTCACGTTTTACATCGTATGAATACATAATTATTAAGGCTAACTTTTATGTCATTAACATATTTCTACCTTATTGAAATAAAATTTAAATATATAATTTTCAATTTACGAAATGATTTAATGTCACATATGATCGATAAGTGATATGTTCCGAAAGTATTGACTTCAGAAAACATCATCTTCAATTATGTCAAGAAGTGTATCATTGTATTAACTCGCGGTACATTTAGAAATGATTGAGTTCTGCTTGCGAGTGTCATCGAATCTTTGGACTATTTTTGCATGAAGGATAAAAATATAAAGTGTACGGTAACCGATGAGGGTCACGGCTAAGTTTTTTTTTATTTACCATGCATTCATTTTCATTTGCATATAAAATTGTCAAATTCGATTCGCATTTGTAGTGATGAAATTTTGAAATAATTTTACATTTAAAATTTTGCATTTTGATTCTCACTTGCGTTGAGATTTACATTTGCATGTTCACGTGCGTATCACTGTGACCGCAAATTGTAATTTTGATATGCTTTCGGTATAAAGTAGCTCGCTGTCTGTCATCATATCGACACGGGTTTACAATTCCGTCTGCAGTTATCAACGTTGTAAAAATGTTTCGAAACTGATTTTTTTCGCCGATTTTAACACTTCAAGTGAAATTAGCGTTAAGTACACCGAGTCGTGAGAGGGACTGGCTGTTTCCTTTACACCTTCATACACAGTGTGTTCAAAGTTGAGTTATCGTGTCGTACAGGCCATTGATTTTTACATGAGAAACAAACATTATCTGAAAAAAATTCTAACTAAGCAGATCCATGAAATTGTCTGTACTGAGGAAGTATGCGACCACACGCTATATTTTCACACAACTTGATTTTTAAGAGCTGTCTTGGGACAGCCTCTCTGTTAAATTGCTACATATTTACCGAGACCATTATGTTTCGAGATTGTACAAGCAACCCATAGCATCAATCCTAATAATGCATTAATTATCTTCTGTGGTATTGAGCATGCCTAGACATATGAGGCAATCTGCGTCACGTTTTTACAAATAGCCGGAATACACTCAGGCTGATTCACTTGCGGTTTCAGCTGCATCATTGGGTATCAGAGGGTCACTGATTCGTTCCCGTCTGAATATATAAGACGGTGAACTTCTGACATTCAACACTTTCTTGTGTAGCAAACTCTGAAAACTGAATTCAAAACAGTGTGATACGTGATAGGATTGAGTACACAAATGCAATCAGAATCCGATACAGATAATTTACAATTGACGTAACATTTTAATTTAAGTTGAAAATTATTGAGTTACTTACTTAAGTTGAAGACGTTTAACAGCTTTAAAAACACAAATATATATATAGAGAGAGAGAGAGAGAGAGAGAGAGAGAGAGAGAGAGAGAGAGAGAGAGAGAGAGAGAGAGAGAGAGAGAGAGAGAGAGAGAGAGAGAGAGAGAGAGAGAGAGAGAGAGAGAGAGAGAGAGAGAGAGAGAGAGAGAGAGAGAGAGAGAGAGAGAGAGAGAGAGAGAGAGAGAGAGAGAGAGAGAGAGAGAGAGCGTCGCCATGTTGAAAGTATTAAAACGAAGGAAATATACGAGATAGATAAAACAGGAGATTAAATCTGTATTTCGCTGTAGGGTCAAAGCTGTACGAATGCACAATAAATTTAATTTGAATTGAGATCTCGAGGTAGCCTAAGTGGAAATCGCGAGGTAATAGCTTGAGATATCAAGAACGCAGTTTGAAATTATAATGTAAATTTATATTTGAATGAACTATTAAAACTGGCCACACATATAGTTAAAATAAAGAAACGAATATAACCCTAGAGAAAAAAATCATCTCTCTTACAAATCAAGAGCCTCAAAAACTTCTTATACAGTGACGAGTCTAAGATACAAGATGAGGTAGGTTCAGTTCAACAGTTTATTTGCTGAAACACTGGAAACGATCGCAGATTATAATCCCGTATGTACTAATCATTTAACATGCCTCACCGAAGGTTGCGTACCTCGGGCTTACACGAGAGATCCCCGGAGCTATTTGAGTCCAATTTTACCTTGCTACCGAGCATCAATTAGGCAGCATTCTAAACGAGTGAATCACGGTTGCGGGGTGCTTATCTCTGTACTACTGTGCATTGTGATAACCACAGCATGCATAAACCCTATGTGTACGTACATGAACAGTCTCTATTCAAAACAAAAGGTTGCATGTTGCCGGTAATCTTTATTTTCATCGAATTACATAATAATTAGATGGTATTTGACATACCATTACTAATACAAAATCAAACTAATCAGTTCTAATATTGGGTGGCCAACCTAAGGTTGCCAGGAATACCGAAGTTCCACGTCGAATTAATATTTGCAAGGTATCGCGCGCCCTCTACATACGGACATATCCCCAGCCGCATATCCGTAGAGAGCGCACTTCGCAAAGGTTGTAAGCCTGTGAGGTCACGAGACTGAAAATCGGTTCTCTAACCTTAAAAGGAAATGATATAATTAGGGGGAACTTGCTTGCACAATGACAGGTGTGACGTCGAACTACCGTCTTGTTCACAAATGGGTGAATGGTTCTAAAAACTTTGAAGGCTATTTGTATTCACTCTAGAAGTTTTAAAATTGATTGAAAAACTTCCAGAAGTTCGTGTGGCATTCTCAGTCCCGAGGTTATAACAGAGTATCGGGCAGAGCATGTCTTATTATTATTTTATTATTATTTACGTGTTACGACCCTGGAATATATTTTTGATTAATAATACGTATTAGTGACTACTGAATTCAAACCTCTTATAGTAACATAATGATGACATGATATATATATATTGTATAAAGGATAAGAAACTGTATTACTTACAAATAACAGAAATAGGCAACTATATATAATCGTGTTTCTATCATTTCAAATTATTTAGAAATAATTAGAACGTGAAAATGCATGATACATGAATAATAGCTATGGATATTTTTTTTAAATAATGATATTTTGTGTACTTTATTACATATATTATGGTTAAATCGCATACAAATATGACACGAGTTAATGCGTGCACGTGTATTGTAAATACATATTATTGAAATAATAGGCATGTCTATGGTCGTTTATTGTTTGAGTGCAGATGCGAATGAGTAGACGGTTGATAACGCGATAGGTATAGATATGTTGTATTGTGTATATCTTATTTTGTCTGTATAATTGTAGTGTTACAAAAAAATATTGTTTCAAATTATATTAGAGCTGACTTTATATTACACAAAAATATCCACAACCATCAAACGTTTAAAAGATTGGGGTTAGCTGTTGTTGAAAAACGTGCCAAAGCGTTCGGTAGTCGGTTAGGTTTGAAAGAAGTTCAACGGCGTGTTAGGAAATATGGTTTGTTTAACAAAAATGATTTTCCACAACTAGGAAACGTTAGCTCGGTGCAGAGTCTGGACGAGGTTTAGAACCAGTAGTGGACTTCACGTCTTTCTTTAATTTTCTTACCAGCCTTCGATCTTTGTCCCACAGAGTGTAAAAGCCATCTTTGGTGCGACTTCGCGCGACAGCTGTTAAAAAAATAAACAAGACGTGTTCAGTAGAAAAAACTTTGTCCCAACATTACACATGACGAAATTGTGTGTATGGTTGAGTTGGTGTCACTAAGCAATTGGGATCACTGCGCAGTTAGGATCATTGCGCATCTTCAGTATACCATTTTGGGGTTGCTGGTGCATGTTTCAGAACGAGGATAAACAAAATGGCGGATTTGGCGACATAGTCAGACAAACATCACGCAACATTTAAAACTGCAAGCATATAAGCATGGGTGGTACGACTAGGAAATTAATAATTTTCAAATCTTGACTTAAAGGTTTGTAAATTATATTTACATATCGGTGTTTAAATTGTACTCTCACCTGAAGAAGAAGCCGGTCTTTCACGACTAGGCGGCAATGCACTGACACAGTCATCCCCGCTCTCCAGATATGGTATTATGTTTTGTTGTCTGAGTTCCACCTGTTTTTCAAACCATTTTTGAAAGTTCCAGCTCTCTTCCAGCACTCTTTGATGGTCGATCTTGAGGGTCTCCAGCAGCTCACTCTTCGTAAGATGCTCTTGGAGCATTTTGTTCATTTTTTCGTTTTTTCTTTCCGCTTTCATTTGCTCCTGTTTCATAGCTTGCCAGTTTGTCATCGTTTCCATGGCGATACTTTTACGCAATTTCTGTTTGCTTTCTTTGAGTCGCTTTTCAGCCTTATCCACTGCTTCGTGTACAAGTCTTTCTACCAGCAATTCAAAATCCCGCACCATGGCGTAATATTCAAAATCAGCTTTCCTTTGTTCCGCTTGTTCTTCTCGTTGCCGTGCTACTAACTCTTGCCTCTTTTTCTCCTTTCTCTTTTCCTCTATTATTTGCTTTTCTTTTTGTTCCTTCCATTGCAGATATTTTTCACTGTCATTCAACCTTGGGTCATTTTGACTTAAAATTCGTGATTGTGGCACTGAATTGGAAAACAAATACATGTAAAGAGGTCATTTAGACTGGTATCTGCACCAAGAATTATGTGTCGATCAACAAATTGGTTTAATATATTTGTAATTCTAACACACGGAGTATTATGATATTGTGAAGTGTTCAATTAACATTGGCTTAAAGGCGGAACATTTACGAAAACGTGTTTTTTTTTAAATAATGTTGTTCGATACTGCATGTTGGTGATTAAATTTGATTATGATTCATCGTAAAAAAATACTTATGTTGCATAATGGTTAATATTTGTGATCGTTATTCCTCGTTCGAAAATCGCATATGCGTATTATAATAGAGAATTAAACTTATTAGGTATTCATCGGCATAAAGTCACAAACAAAGCGTTTTCTCACCCATATTGCATCGCTGATTTGACAGTGGTGTATGTTCTCCGAGTTAGAATTTATTTAAATTTTGTTGTCAGACGGATTGGAAATGATTTTGTGTGATTGTTAGCGCAAGAACTTACATCATTAGTTGTGGTACATACATAGAAACTTCGAGATTTCCCGAAAATATAGCAAGACATGGCTACGGGCATAAGGCCAACTTCTTAAAGCGCGGTGGTCGTCGCGCAGCGCGTGTTCGAATTTCATGTAAATAAATTGCTGCAGTTTATGCAGCTCTCTTGGTCGTGGTATACGTTGCGGGGCGACCAGAGAGCTGCAGTTCCCTTCCCTAAAGAAATGCACAGATTTTTAAATATGCCAGTTATGTATCATTAAAATTGTGATTGTAATAAAATTACCTCGACTTG